AGAGAGAGAGAGAGAGAGAGAGAGAGAGAGAGAGAGAGAGGTTGGCAGGAAGCCACGAGGGTGCAGAGATTGAAAAGCAAGTGCTGTGCAAGACGAGGTAAGAATCCGTCGTCGGGATCTTCAGTCAAGATTGGAAAACGTTAGTCGCTCTCTGCTTGTTGGGAGGAGGAGGAGGAGGGTGAGGAGAAAGGAGGGAGGAGGGAGGAGGGGACGGAGAGGAGGGAGGAGGAGAAAGGAGGGAGGAGAGAGGAGGGGACGGAGAGGAGTGAGGAGGAGGAGGATAAATGAGGGAGGAGAGAAGAGGGGGCGGAGAGGAGGGAGGGATGATGATAAGGAAGAAGGAGGGAGTATCCGTTGGAGGGAGGGAGCATCACCCAATGTTAGTGAATGAGAAGAGCCCGAAGATTAAGATTAAAGGGGAAAAAAAAAGGAAAAAAAAGGGGAGAGAGAGAGAAATGGAGAAGGAAAGTTCTGGGATGTGTCGCGTAGAGGTTGATTGATAAAAGCTATACCATCTTCCCTCGGACTCAACGCACCCTGATCACTGATGTATACAAGCCATTTTCCGGTTGGATTCAGATCGAGTGATGATGACCGTGTGTTGTGTTCGAGGGAAGGTGGTAACCGTGTGAATGCCTTGCGCAGGGCTAGCCATGTAGTTTTTTTTTTTTTTTTCCGAACCAAAAAAAATTCAATTCATATAATATATTAAATAAAAGTCCAAGTCGAGGCCCTCCAACGCTACGCACGTAATTTAGAGCCCCGTTCCACTAGTCACGACATGCAGAAAAGACAAAAAATATGGCGGTGTATCTGTCCGTGTTCTAGAGGAAGATTCATTCCCATTTTTTCCCTATTGGGTGAGTAGTGGAGCAAGGCACTCTCAGTCTGGCGAGCGGCCGACTGACATGATTGATGAAATGGACCATGAGACTCTTCAAAAAATAAAATAAAATAAAATATTTTATGGGACTCCATGGGACTCTTTTTTTCCCCCCACAGGGAACCGTGGATCTCCTCTCCTGTTACCTACAATAGTTGGGCCCAGAGGCGGTGGGACTCCTAGCTTCTTTTTCCGAATAAAACGGACGGTCAGTTTTTTAAAATTTACTATTATTTTATTATTATTATTATTATTATTATTATTATTTTGAGTAATATTCTTTCGCTGCATCTGATATAATACGGTAATAATGGCCGTACGGTCTATTCGGTGCACTTCTGTGTAGTCCTTGTGTGGAACTTCTCCTCCTATTCCCAACACTACTGGTAGTTGTTTTTTTTTTCCCCTGGGAAAACGTTAAGTTTCAATTTAACAGAGAGGCCGGAGGCCGGGTCCCCTCCACAAATAACCCGGGATAGCTTTTTTCTTAGCTATCTTCTATACTATACACCTGTGTGTCTATATCCGACTGTCACTCTCTCTCTCTCTCTCCTTCCCGTTCAGCTTTCTTGTGTGGGCCTGTCTTTCTCTCTCTCTCTCTCTCTCTGTGCCTTAGCTGTCGTTGTGGAACGAGGTACTTTTTTTTTAACTCTTTTTTTTGTTTTTTGGGACGAGTCTCTTATTATTATTATTTTTTTTTCTTCTTTTTTTACTAAAAGAAAGAAGAAGGATCAACCCTACCGGCTCTCTTTTTTTTTTTTTTTTCCTTTTTTTTTTTTTTTTTTTTTTTTTTTTT